TCCACCTGCTGCTCTTTTCAAGAAGTCCTGAACAGTGTTGGGAAAAGAAACGAATATTGAATACTTAAGTAGGAAATGTTACTGCATGGATGTTATTTTTCCTCGTTGACAGAAAGAGATTAAAAAGATCGTGCCTTGAATTTCATTTTGAACAATCATGTGGAAATCTAATCAAAAGGTACACCCCCACCGAAATCAAGACTTTAAGAACACACACATGACCTACAAGTTCCTATCGTGTGTGCATTGCCAAATAATTAGTACAATAAATCAAATCTACATTTGATGAAACTCTACATTTGATGGAATAACTGACCTTCCATACTTTTTTTTACATTCAGTTTATTTAAATTTGTGAATAGTACCTTCGTTCTACATGATTCATATTATGACTTCATAAATACTCTGTAAATTTGTAGTAGTTCGCTGTAAATAATAGCTATTTTTTTATCAGTTACTAATACCTTAGGAACCGTGACTAAAACTAGTCCTTCAGAATACAGTTTTTGTTTTTGCATCGCTTGGTGATGGTGAGTTTCTGTGCGTAGTTGTACAATATTGTTATAAACGAGTTTCAAAATTTGGTCAGGATATTCTTAACATCCATCCATAATGTATCATCCACGTACATATCTATAGGCTTAAGACTTTTAGTGCAGTTGCTACCATGCGTACTTACATTGCAAGCAACTTTGTCAGCAGTGATGATGAGGCTAGCATAATCTTTTTTTCTTCGTCAACAACTTGATTGAAATACATCTACTACATGACAATAGGTACGTAAATGTACAATATCTCCACTTCTTAATATTCATCACCTCTTCTTAGGAAGCAAAAGGAAAGAGCTTTATTTTTTTGACATTAATGCATTGAATGTCCATATACATAAAATATCCTTCTCCTTATTTGAAACTTTATTGACTTGGGAGAGATCTCAGTAGACATGTTGATAGAAACAGAAGAACCATCTTTTGTTTATCTTCATCGTAATATTTCAAATTTCATGAGATATTTCAGTTTTGGTATAAAATAGGTCTAGAATATTGATTATGCGCAGGTCCCAAATTTTGGATATCATATGCTTAACTATAAAATCCTAAGTGCAGTTTCCAGCTCTCCACAACTTGTACTTCACTAGCAACTTTCTTTGTAAAGCTTCAATACCCTTGGGTAGCTATCGCACAGAACGCCATGCAAACACCAATATACAAACTGGGGTCGCGATCCTGTCTGAAGAGCCCGAGGTCACAGCGCGCAAGACTTTGGAAGCGTTTTGGATAAGCGCCAAAGATCCAAAAATAAACCGAAAGGGAGAGTGCGTTGCGATTACCAACACATTCGCGTCATATCAGTCTTTTTGAATTGAATATGAGGTCAGGTACCTAAGCACTATAAAATGAGGAAGAGGTATAGTATTGCATAGGTCTTTAAACCCCAACTTGTGCTTTTTTAAAGTTAGTGTGGCGCGTGACTCTGGTTAGATTATTGGTTCTTTCTATCAATATTATCTTGAGTCACGATGTCGGCGTCTAGGATGGTTTAATGATGTGTTCGACTTTTGCGAAGGCAATAGTGCTAAAATGTTGGACGTCAAACGTTAATTACTGTTCTTATCGTATGATCCCATGGTTAAAGCTAGCCATATTCAATGACCATATCATAAAATATTCAGTTACAAAATATGGATTTTTATTTTTGATGTTATCTAGGATTTATTACGATACATTTTGATTCCAACCACAATTTAGAGCTATCTTCATCGCTTTTAATATAAAGTCTAGCAGAACTTGTCAAGTTTTCGCCAGATCGCTGCATATTCTTGTAACTATTGTGAGCTTGTTGCAACGGAGTTCTTCATTCATGCTATCCTAAACTAAATTCGTTAAAAATTCGCTCTGCATGTCAACTGCTATAAGTATATTGTCGAACATCCCTTCCATTCTCGTGAGCACCTTTCATATCTACGTGTAAACTTTCCTTACTCATCATATCTTAGCATTGTCGAAGGTGCCGAGATTCATAAACAAAAGGAAAACCTACATTACTAATGCTGGAAGTCAGTACTGTTATAGGGACGTCACCAGTAATGAAGATCACTAGGAAAAAATCTGTTCAAACTAGCTATTTTCTGTTCAGAACAAGTGAGCAAAACAAAGCAAATGACAGAGTAGTGATGTTTACGGTACGCAGTTGGCTTCTACAATCTGAGAGATCTCTTGTTGTGAACAAAGCGATTTTG